TTTATTTTCATTTATTTATTATTATTCATTGTATACAAGCGTTCAACTTTAAACACAACGGAATTACAATATTATATAAGTGAGTTTGTAATTCAATATTTCATTAAGGATTCACATAGACGTAATGCACAGTCAACCACTACACAGCCCTATAATTAGTGATTATAAATATTTTTCATTCGTTTGCTGGTTTTGTCTCTTTGTGCAATAAATTCATTATGAAGTAAATTTTATGATAAAAAGTGGAGTAGTTTTTATTATTATTATTATTATTATTATTATTATTATTGGTTTTCCTCATTTACACAAAGTATTTTTTACAAACTAATAAAATTAAAATTATTAACAATATTTTATAGCAAAGACACAAAACGATACTACCTCGCGTGAAATCATTTGCATTCTCAATCTCAAACGGGCTTACAACCACCGAATCTAGCGGCTGCTCATTTTCCGTTCCTGCATTATCTGCGGTTGTTAGGTTTTCTGTTGAACAACTTTAATTAATATTATTTTTTTTTAATACTACATATTGAATTAACCGAATTAATGGCAATCATTACCAATTCACTGGCATGCTGTGTCGAGATAAAAAGAAAGAAGAACCGACGAGAAAGTTCGTTCAAATAATTTCGGAGGTCTTTGCTTATCGCCTTTGCTTATTAAACTGATGTCTATCGTCATTTTAACTTTAAAAAAGTCCAAAATTGTGCTGATAATGTTGATGCTGCGATATTTTATCGTGAATACATAACGTTTGTTTGACAGCACAGCAAATCACTTAAGTGCCCATCCCTCCATAGGACGTCAACAATGTAAACAATAGTGGCTTACACAACCGTTTTGTTGTTATTATTGCGCGTTCTTTTGTTCCTCAGCATATATCGTATCATGTAACATCGAAGCATAGTCCACATTATACTAACATGCAGTTACTTTGTATTCATTTTGTAATATTACCTCTATGCAGTTTATACAAACGCTAGGATGAGATTCTGAGTTGGTTTAGTCATGTCTATCGGTTGTTGAGGCACAAAGTCAAGATTAAGATCACGCGGGACTCCCATAATTCCTTACATCTTATTGAAATCCAGACACGTCGACAATGCCTAAAGAAATAGAAATCCTTACGCAACCGGAAAAAATATCGTACTCTTTTGCAAATTTTAACCGGAGAAACTTAGCGTTTTTAGCAGTTCGGTCAATACAATTATTTCTTGTCCATATTACGCGATCTTTTCGCCTAAAACAATAAGCGAGCGAAAAGCAATATTTTCTGTTTAAGTAATAGGTACCCAAGATTCGACTCAAAAGCTTGTGCAATCATTTAATTATTCTGTTAACTGATATCCTCTCATTTTTTAATATATTTAAAGTTCTTTTGTTAACTCATACGTTAAAAAAATTTATTAAAATTGAATTACGAATGAAAAGTAGCGCAGAACAATATTTGTGCGGTACACAAATTAATTTTTCTTTATGTCCATCGTAGGGCTAAATTGTGTTTAATGCTAAAACTCTTTAAAGCAAATACGATGGCGATTGGCCTGTGTAGCATAATCCATTTTACTAAATTCATTGAGCGATCTGGCCATTCGACTTTAGAATTAAACTTTTTTTTCAAAAATTCTGATTAAGGTAAGTTGACAGTAAAATAAATTTTTGCTCGAAATATATTCAGATTAAATGTACGAATCAATAAGGTTTCCCTATAGTAAAGTATGCTCGGAAAGAGAAAGTATTCTGGTCAAAATATGTCCGAAATTCTTAAGTAAAAAATTGTTTTAATTGTCTCCACGGTAAGACCAAAGCAGACGTCGATTTCCCATAGTCTTACGCGCCGGCAGTTTCGTCTCTTTCAACGTATTTTCTTTCGTGCGTTTTTTTAGCTTATTGTAATTTTCAGCAAGCTCCAAAAAATATCAGGTAGAACGTTCCGAAACGGCTAGAAAGATACGTTCACACTTTGGCCCAACTCTCTTCGTGCGCACACAACGTATAGAAATATATTGTAGGAGCTGTTTTTGTTATTTTCAGCCGTTTAAATGCCATCAGGTCCACTTACTCTGGGAACTCCTGGCCCTATTTGGGGTATGTATACTACTTGCACGCTTACATTGTTCGTTTAGCAGGATCGCAGTAGGTTGCTTGGATCGTTTTCATCGTTCGTTGTTGTGACTCCTTTATGGTACTGTCATTTAGATGCCAAGACTTTTCAACACTTTTTCTTGAAATTATCCGTCGTGTACTTTATTCATAGGTAAGGAAGCGCACGGTATAATTATCATAATTTATTGAAGTTTTTCCATGATAGATATAAAAAAGTTCGATCCAAGACAGATATTTTCTTTCTTATTTTTATGAATTTATTTTTACTCTTTTTAATATAACGCAACGATCAATAATTTGCTGAACAGCTACGCTTGTCTCTAGTAAAAAATTCATTATTATTTTTAGAGAGTGCCAATTATCAAGCGACGAAGTTTTTGTGTTGATAATAATCTAAACATTGTCTTGCGGTTGCGGTAATTTTCCTACTTCGAAACACACAATGATGCTGAGTGCGGATGTAATTACATTAGAAAACTTCAGTGAAGACTATCACAAGGCAAAAAAGAAAAAGATATCAGAAAACAGTGTACTTGCAATTTGACCAAAAATTTTGCCCTGAGACAGCTGAAAGTCAATGTAAATATTTCCTATCTTTATCTGTTTCTGTTTGCAAAAGTCAAAACGATGAGCCAAAGAAAAACCAACAGATCAAATTTTGAGATCAATGCCAAAGTTGGAACGTATTTTAAAAGTGTTTAGAGAAATTATTCAAAAAAAATGCATTAAAATGTTGTAAAAGTATTTCAGTAACCTCGAATTTTTTTAGAAGCAAGTAACTTTTTTATTTAGTCCCGAGAATTATTGACCAACGCACTACGAATTTATAGGACTTAAAAAAACATTTTCGTTTCAATTGAAAAATATAATTATGTTTTTGGGATATACTACAATGTTTCCATTTCAGCGGTTACTTAACAAATTACTTCGAAATACAAAAATTTTCAATTAACTAAACCACAAGCGTTTTTTCAGATTTATCTTTTATAGTGTATGAATGCTGAACAAAAATCCAATTTTTTATTTCTTTTGAAAAGCAGACGTGTTGTCAGTTTATATGGCAGTGTGGGTGTGTCTTGCGATCGATTTGTCTCTTTTTCAATACCCTCCAAGAACTTTCAATCTTTCTGCCAAATTTGAAGCCGATAGTTGTATTTTTCCGGCCATGAGAATGTTTAGCACAGACGTTACACAGAGGGCAGATGAACAGACTGACATGCTTAAATCGATTTGGAACTTAATGCTGATTAACCACATATATACTTTAAGGGGTCTCTGATACTTTCTCCTGAGCGGTGCAAACGTTTAGACAGCATATCCCCCATCCATCGGTGACTAGTATAAAAAATGAAAGATTGGTTAGATACGAGATTATATTTGAAATAATGTAAATATTACATAGGATATGATGTAACAAATTTGCCTCCCGTTTTTAACGATGAGCTTAAAAACTCAAGTACTGCGTTTTCTATCTTATCAACGCTATCGTATCAAATAAATGTGCAAAAACTTTTCCAATATATGGCAAATTCATTTTTAACTCGGACATATCTTTTTATACGCCGCTTATTGAAAACTTCGGCAGTTTTCTGTCTTTTAAATTAGCTAAGCTTTTGCAGTCTGGCCGAAACTGCTGCGTCGAATTCACGACTTTCCAAAGCGGGCAACCACACTGGAATGGAATAAGTAAAAGAAAACTGTACATGCTTTGGGACGAACCTTCGAAACCTATCATCTTGTATAGCTTTTGATTACTATAGCCATGTCAGTTGTGTCGGATTGATACCATTTTTGTCTTTAAATTTTTATGGGTTTCAGAAGTACACTTGGACGAATCCATAACTTTTCCGCAAGAATGGTGAGAAATAATAAGAAAACTTTCATAATTATATCGAAACGCAGATGATAGCATCAAGTCGCTAGGCGTCGCCGAGTTACCCAAAGGAAACCATTATCTCAGCTACAAACCTTAAATACTCAATTTTTTTATAGCTATGATTGAATCAATATATCGATGTATTTAATCTTTGATGCGAATCCTTAAACTTCAAGGACAAATTGGTTTGTATTAGTGTCAGTGTTTGGAATTCTAACCTTGACAATGCTGAAAAGGAAAAAGAAACGGACCGAGTTCCTGCTTCTCTTAGCAAAGCTGTCATTCTAAGTGTGGTGTCAGCAAACAGGCAATATGTTTGCTAGAGGGCGACACAATTGCATTTGTTCTAGTATTCAAGCTACTCGAGAACGCATAATAATATATTTAAGACACTTACTACTTAATACTCCGCGCTGGACGCATCAGAAGAAAGAGATCGAAGAGATTTGGTTTCTTCTTTAGTCAGTTTAGAAAAGAGTTTGCCATCACTGAACTTTGGCAACACATAATTAATTATGAAACAAATGAATTCATTTAAAATGTCAAGAGAGCCGATAGCCTGTGTTGCTAGTGCTCAATGTCTTTTTTTTAGTCTAAGAATTCAATTCATTAGTCTAAAATTAAAATAATAATAATAAAATGTCAAGAGCACTGTATACATATATATAAATTTTTTTTTTCAAGTTCTTTTGAATTGGATATTAACAAATGGTTCTTAATTAATTGATCGATTATGCATTTTGCATTAAGAATGATGAGTGATATGAGTGCAGTGACCTAATATTTTTACTAATTAAACAAAGCGGAAAAACTTCGAACTGTATAGACCTATACAAAAAAGTGAAACATACACAGTTATGATGAATTACACCTTTATTTACAATATTAAATGAAATTATCGGTATCTCACCTTTTGTTATTGATAACGTGCTAATCAAAGCGAAATATAATGAGCTAAAAAACCCCGATCGATACAACTACTTACAAATGTACTACAAACGCAGAGTTGAGCAATTTACCAGTCGAGGAAAATTTCAATTTTATTTCCACTTCCAAATGATTAGATATAAGATTCTGAGTGAACGAAGTAGTGATAGAGTGATCGAAAAAAACTGAAAGAAATAAAGTTACCAAAATAATAATAAAATAAGCAGAAAAAAAATTAATCAAAAAAAAAAAAATATTTGCTTGGGATGGCGACAAAAGATTTAGAAAAATCTCCAGCCGCCTTTGATGAGGTAGATTTTTCAAGTGGCTTCGATACCCAATATGAGCAAGAGTACCGTCCGTTGAAACCATTGGTGAAGCCGGCAAATCGCCAAGATCCTAAAACCTTATGGTATCGTGATCTCAACACCATATTTTTGTTAGCCTTCCTAGTGTTTGTATACATTACTGGGACGGTGTTGTTAACCAGGCTGGTGTTCACAACAAATGCTTTGTACATATTCCTGATTATCCTAAGTTCGGTTTCGTTGGCAATGGTAGTCATGCTAACTGATATAAATAGTACACGTATACGTTAAAGGGTATAAGTGAAATAAAATTAAAACAAATAATAAAACCAATCACCATTGATATAATGTTGGAAATGCTCACTTGCGTTACGCAACGGCAATAATGAATCTTACGTTTGTAAATCTGCTAAATATGTAAGTATTGAAAGAAAAAGTTGAGTAACATTTCCAAGTTGCCAACATGTCAGTAAACAAGCCTTGAAATATGAATACGAATGATGTCTGAATAAATGAAAAACTATTTGTAATCGGCTTTAAGCGAATCTTTCTTAATGTTATATGTAAGTGAAAAATTCTTACATTTGACAGACAAGTGTATCTTCGACGTGTCAAAATGAAGTTTGGAATGGCATACAGCGAAAGTTGGATACGTTTGTTTGCGCACATCTTTTGATGCATTCAGCTTTTGTGAAACATCTACATACTGATGACTCCTTATTACCCATCTGCGAAGTTGAAACTATGAAATATGTCATTCTCTCAATTTGATAAATGCAATTGTTGTTGTTAAGTTTCGCTCGAGCTCATGTATAATTTTAATGACTAATAAATTCAATTCGAACAAAAAAACCCATAATTTTTAATTAATAATGTATGATTTGGAAAGCTGTAAGTGATCGTAAGAAGCAGTATCTTGAGGTTGCGGGGTAAAGAGCTCTATATCCGTCTTCTAGCGCATCCTCGAAAATTTTTTTAATATATCGAAAATCCAACAGTTTTTCCCTAAATCGACGAACTGATCTGTTAGACGTTGTCGGTAATCTTTTTTATTCATGTCCTTTAGCTATATTGGTCGTATTATATATACAATGCTTTTTTAGCGAACATTTCAAATAGGAAAATTTATCTCGCAACCGTCGATAACCGATTTCATTCATTAATATTGGACATTGAGCCTTTTCCATCCCATTTTGACTTGCCAACACCGATTGTAACCCGGGTCCAGATTTCCTTGAATTGAAAGGAATAGTAACGGCGCCCTCGCGAGTACATTCGTTATTATTGAAAGAGCGAAATGATCTTCAAAAATGTTAAAAATGAATATCGACACGCCATGGACATGCATGTAAAAGCTAGCTCGATTCTTTATTAAGAAAAGACTGTAGGGAAGTCACTCGGCAGAAAACAGTTGAGGGACTCAGCTCCAATGCAAATGAAAACTTTTTACCTGATATTTTTCCTCCATTATTGCCGTGGGTTTCCGTTGATACTTCCACCAACCTTTCCAATTGATCGGTGGAATATGATCAATAATTTATGTGATTGGTTTTAGCTTAATGCAAATAACCCATTGAAAGAATCTTCGAAATAATAAAAAGCTGGTCAAACACTCTATGCCCAAGAGAATTCAATGGCTTTCTTTGCGGTTTTCTTTGCGTTTTAAAAATTTACGACTATCACTGTCAGCGTATTTACAAATTGACGTCTCCTAAAAGTAAGGAACAAAAATAAAAAACCTTCAGATATTCTCTCCTTAGATAACAAACAATAAACGACGACCAGACACCACACAAACGTGAATTAGACGTTTGATGCAAAATGTTGGAAAAAAATGAATGAATGTTTTGTAATATTGTAATATTGTAAAGCACTAAATATGAGTGAAAGCCAAAAATAGAGAAAAGAAAAATTTGGAAAATTGTACAAAGTTTTGATGGGAAAAGTTTCCTTTTATTATATTTAAAAAAAAACGTAGCAGTAATTCCCATTCAGTACTAAAGGTTTTGGCGTGAAATCTTAAAAAAGAAAAGAAAGACTCTATGGAACTGTATGAAAAGAGCGGCGGAGTATAAATGTGTGTAAAATGTTTGCTTAGAGAACTAAGCAGTAAGACTGGCTGCACAGGTATTCTAATTGAGACCAGAGAAAATTTTATTGAATAGAAATTTGAGAGGTTTCCTACCGACCGCAGAGAAACAGCAACAGAGGCAGAAAGGTATATTCGAGTCTTGGATACTTGGGCAAATATAAAAAATATTTTTTTTCTTTACAAATTGCAGGCGGTGGAAACTGTTTTGTTGTGTATTTGTAAACGTAAACTAAGAACAAATGCGACAAATTTCAGTAATATTGTGAAAATTTTAAAATCAAAGAAGAGACCAACGAGAAATAATATAACATTCGTATGTTTACCAAGAATTTATATACCTAATGTATGCGTTCCATTACTGGATGCTGCAACATCTGTTAGATAATGTGTTGGCGTCTTAAATAGCCCGGCATTAGGATGCGTCACTAATTGCAAATATTGTCAGCACCATTGGAGCTTTGAGCTTAATAAAGAAGTGGTAAATTTTATGTTGCCGTCTGTTTACTATAAGCCATTGACAAAACGACTACGAATTGCTTAAGTTTTTATTAAGGCTTTACCTCTGCAACCAAATTGAAAACTTTTGTAACAAAAGTTCAGTTCCCCACTTCAGTTTCAAAATCAGAGAAAGGGATAGTTCAAAGTAGCTAAGTTATTACGCTATTCAAAATTAGATTATCTTTAAAGGGGATAGAAAAGGGAGGAGAATTTTTTTTTGATGGAAGAAAAGCTTTTAGAATAATGACATTCGGGTAAGTTATTAGGCGTGTATTTCAGTATTAAAAAAAAAAAATTATTTCTGAAAAATATATAAAAAGTAACAATACCGCGGATGGTCCAAATTTGAATAATAAAAGGAAACCATTTCATCTGTTTTCATATATCTCGTGAAATCCCTATGGAATGCTGTATGATTGGCGGTGTGCTTTAATAAAAAAGTTCAACGTTCGACCACAAAAAAAGGCATTCCTTTATTTTACTAAAGGCAGAAAAGCGTCTATATTAACTTTTCGAAAAAATGCTACGTATTTCAATAGCGAATACTGCTTTAAAAATACTTAAATGAAATATTTTGGTGCAAAAAAAAAGAAAAGTGGTCGACCTATGCTGTTTGCCTCTTTTCGAAAATCATGTTTGAGAAAAACATTTTTCCGTGGCCACAATCGACTTTTGGTGTCACTTTTGAGTATTTAAGCGATCAGGTTAGACAATAAAACGAATATTGATTTTTTCAAAAATCTACAGTGGTATGCATTGAAAGTGAAAAGTTGTAAAGGCCTTCAGTCGATACTTATTTCCGAAGACTCGAAAAGTTTTCTCTTAATTAAATAGAGGCCATTACGTAAATGAGTTCCTCTGTGTTGTTATAAATAAAAACCTGGATAACAAATTGTAACAATGTTTCGACAAACGGATAAAAGCATATTACAATGCAAACATTTTTGTTGTGAATTTTTTGTATGAAACATAGAGAATCGCACGACCAGTACTGCCCTGCATTTTTGTGTTCGACATGAAAAAGATAACATATATTTTTTGGCGATAACCTAAGAATTGCTTACACAAGTAAAAAAATTGATATCAAGTTCCATGATTGAGTATCTGTTGGATGATATTGCAGCTTTAAGTGCGTTACAGTGCTTGACGTTTAAATGAAATAAAATATTTTTTAATTAAAAATAGATTTTTTTTGTTGAAATGCATTACAACCTCTGCATATTTTGCTTCTCTGCACCAAACTGAAAGAATACTTTATTTTTAAATCCTTCGGAATTATTATTTTCGCATTAGTTTTATATACATTAGCTCATAGAAAGAATTTTTTTTTAAATTCTTTAAATGTTTTTAACATTATATGTGTTGCTTAAGTGTGTATAGTTCGTACTCACTTGTTCTATGCGCACGACAGCCTAAAATGTCAGCAAAAGACTGAGCCAAACACATGGTTTTAGTTTCTGCACACTCACTAATACTACCGCATTTATTCACTTAGTATTACAAGCTTTACATGCCTGTTTAGGAAGTTGTTTCGGTTCTTGGTTTTTTTTTTCTCTATCCAGTGGTTGTATTATTACACGTATAACTATTTTTAAGTAAAATTTATTTCAATAGTACACTCACGAAGCAAACATTTTACCATTATTTGGTTATTATTATTATTATATTTATGTCATGTATGTAAGAATTTAGTTTACTATTTTCGTACGATTCTGAAATATCTTTAAAACTTGTGCGAAGCGTACACAATGCATTAACTATAACAAAATGTTTTTGCTGAGTAAAGCTGGGTTACCCTGGCATTGTAAGTGCAAGTTGGGTTTACTACGAGTTAAGAGACTATTCAGCTGTATTGACTGTATTAACTGTTGCTAACCATTTGAATTTTATGCACGAATAAATTTTTGTGAGCTTCTCCGTACTTATTTAGCTTAAATATGTACACGTGAATATACTTAAATGTTTATTGAAAGGGATACTGAAGAAGTCATAAAAGAATTTTTTGCTTGGCAGGGACAGTCTCGATCAGATGTAAAGCGACTTCTTGGTTTACGAAAAATACAAAATAATTTCCTTAGAAATTATCACAACATAATCAATTATTAAAGATAATGCAAAGTCGGGGCCTTGCCTTGTAGCATGCTGCAAATCCAAAAGATAAAGATGAGAACAAGGCTTCTATCTTCCTCTTAAAAACATATTGAAAGAGGAAAACTTAAATACATCATCAAATTTTGCATCTATGTAGCATGATTTAAAGTGAATACTTTTATGACAACCTTCCCGTGATCAAGCTAACAATGGTTTTTTTTTCATCAAAAGCTGAGATATTTTCCATTTTCAATCAGATGTGAAGTTTCTAAACTTAGCCTGGGACCTAAAGTACAACGATATCCAATAAGCATTGGAATCAATCAGTTCTATCAAACGTTTATGTAATTAGTTAGTTATATATAAAGAAAGAAAGTTTCAATTGTTTTGATGGACAGGGCATGTTAATCAAGAACAACAATATCATAGAATGTACTTTCAATAGTTTCAAAACTTTTTCAAATTATTTATATTTGAAAATATTTCCGGGTACTTATTTAAGTCAAATTGTGTCATTTTAATTGTATAGACGAACCGAGAGATTACCATCGGTAGTGTATAAGAATTATTTAAAATCGGTAAATTGCACAAGTTTAGACATATCCGCAATTGAATGGTATGTACTTATAAAAGGAAACCATGACCGAAAGAAAAAAATAAGGCGATCCCTTCGACCCGACAATGACTTTCATTTACTATCTTTATACGAATTATGACTTATTAATTCGTAGTGTTATAAAAGGCATAATTTCTTCTTACAATTGGGCCCTAAAGCGTATGCAGCATTTCACTGGGCTCTTTGTTGGCCTTTAGCGTTACTTACATTCTTGCTGTACATTCTATAGTAAAATTAGTGCGAGGATCTGCACTTCTTTTTAAATAACATACTACATGGTGATTACATGGTCCGCTGCACCTTTTTTTCCAACCGTTTATTTCAATTAGTTCGTTGTTGTTCATTGTAACTTTTTTTCAACTATCTGCCAAAATATCCAACATCAATTCTGCTCCGGACATTCGGCACTGTCGGGTCTCACGATCGTATGGCCCTTCTCAAAGGTAAAACTTACCTGACTGAATCGCGATTGTTTAAATTAATTTTTACGCCAATTTTTAAATCGTGGACTCTTTATTGAGAAAAAATGCATACTGCTTAAATTAAATCTCAAATAGCT